AGACCTTGTAATGTAAAATTTGTTTACCATTTTATCAGTCAATAATACTTAAAAATTCACGCTAGAATTATAAAAATTTTTTAAATTTATGTGTTTAATTGTTTCGTAAATACATTTAAATGTTTAAATGTATTGATACACAAAAAAGCGCAAAAATTTTTGCAATCATTAATTAACATTTTGTTTTGCAATTATTAATTGACATTATGAACGAGTGTTAAAAGTAAATGTCCCGAGGGAGCTATTTTTGTAACAATAATTACAGAAGCAAGGCAATTGTTTTAAGCAATGCAATTATTTTAAACTTCTTTCGTAATTACAAAATTATGCAATTGAATAATTTCAACATAATAAAAGGCGAGACTTGACTCTGAATAATCAGGTTAGAATAAGTCGAGAGAGAGTAGAGAAATGAGTATTACAAAACCTATCACAAAATCACTAAAAACTGTTCAATCGTGGAAATATAATTTTGTCGGTCAAGAAGTTATAAAATTGAACGATATAGAAACTGTAGTTAAAATCTGGTGCAAACTGTGGGCTAAACATAAAAACAGCATTCACACTTCAATATTGGGAATTGCTAGAAATTCCTTAAATGCTTTTACAAATGGAACAAATGTTGTAACACATCATCAGGTTTAATATTTATAATGTATAGTACATTAGAAAGGTAAAAAATATATAGCTATACATTACTATGTAATCTTACTTATTATACCTATATTACAGGTTATGAGGCATTTATCAACAAAGGCACATAAAGAGGCTGCGCGATTAGAGAAAGTTAGTAACTCTCTTTCTATAGTTAAAATAAATGAATCTCAGAGTCCTATAACGGATACCGATAACTCAAAAAATGCATCAACTTTTGAAGCAATCTTAAAGTTAATGCGCACTGCATATGAAATGGCATTGCATCCTGCTATGCCACATAGTCATTTTGAGATACTTATAAAGGTTCAACGTGATAATGGTGTCCAATTAATGCACGGAAAAAGCAACAAAAATGCTGGTAACTTCATTTAATATATATATATATATATATATATATATATATATATATATATATATATATACACACACATTGGTGTGGGAACAGGTGGAAAGGGGGCGGTAGCCCTTAAGAAATACCGTAACTATCGTTTTTTTATATTTAACACTTTAAATATATACAATTTATGATTTTATTTTTTTCAATATTTCAATGTAATTTTACATAATTATTTTGGAATAACTTTTAAATTAAAGTTAAAGTTAATTTAAGTTGTATTTTTATTTTAGCCAGAGAATTTATTCATTGCATTGCCGAGGTAATAAAAGTGAAAGTAGCGACTATTATTGCTAGCAAATCTTTTATGGCTTTGCTATCTGATGGTAGCCGAGCGCGGAAAACAGGCAGTGAAAAAGAAGCCATATTAGTTAGAGTTGAAAATGCTGGTATCCTGTGTTATTTTTTTGTTGCATTGTGTAATATGACGGATTTTGGTGGAGTTGATGCTGACTCCTTGAAATTGGCATTGGATAGTGTATTTATTGAAAACGTTATAGCTAAATGCAATATTCCATTATCCGTTACGAATTATCGTACAAAGCTGGTATCAGCAACAGCTGATGGAGCGAATGTTAATCTGGGTATCTATAGTGGTGCGTTAACTCAATTAAAAAAAACAAGACCATGGTTAGTTAACATACACTGTGTTAATCACAGATTAGAGCTTGCTATAAAAGACGCTATAAAACAATTTAAAGACTTTACGGATTGCGACAATTTTTATATAACTCTATTTTATCTTTTAAAAAAGTCAGGTAAACTGAAGGAGTTATGCAAACATGCTACAGCTGCTTTATCTATCGAGTATTACACTCTAAATAAAATTCAAGGAACCCGATTTGCATCGCATCGAGTTAAGGGTTACACTAGTTTAATGCATAACTGGCCAGCTTATCTAGTTGCCTTACCAAATGCACTAACTAACAAAGGGTATGGTAACCAAACAAGAGCCAAAATACAGGGGCTTGTAAAGAAATTAACAAAATATGCTTTTCTATGCAAAACCGGAGCATATCTAGATGTACTCGCGGCAATGAGCCCTTTGTCGCTTTTTTTTGAAAAAAATGTTTTATTTGCTTTTGAAGTGACTCCTCAAATTGTCCAGACAATAGCACAGTTGACTGCACTGACTGCAGAAAAAGCTGACGAAGCGTACAGTAGCTCTGCACGAAAATTTATTATTAAAGAAGAAGGTGGTATTATTACTCTTGAATCTGAATATATAATCATTGGCGACAAAAAAAAAAAAAAAAAGAATATAAAATACATCGACATCAAACTTGAAGGAATGATAAACCCAAAGCAAGAAGATGTTGAAAGAGCTTTGGAGCTGAGAAAAGAATGCATTAACATATTAATACCATTAATTAATAGTCGATTTGCATCATTTAAAGATAATCCCGTGTTCGCGTCCATGACGTGGCTTGATCCTAAATATTGGACGGACAATCAAGATAATGGATGGGAAAATATTAATTACCTTATGGAATATTTTTGCGAACCACTCGAAGCAGCAAACTTCAAAGAAGCAACAGTTTTTGAAGAATGGAAAACTTTGCAATTATTCGTAAGATCGTTTTACTCTAGTTCAACTTTCATAGAAATTTGGGAAAAACTATTTACATATAAACGAAAAGATTTTCCAAATATCCTTTTGTTATCCGAGTTGTGCCTTTGTTTATCATCGTCGAACAGCGTAGTAGAGAGATGTTTCAGTACACTATCTACTATCCTTACAGACCATCGGCTCAGAATGAAACATAGTACCATGGAACAGTGCTTGTTTATTGCTGGAAATTGCCATGTATGGACAGATGATCAGCGTAAAGATATATTAAAAGAAGCTGTTTACAAATACTTGGAAAAACGTAGAGTTGTTAAATTTCCTATTCAACCAAAAATATTAAACAAAGAAAATACGTTGAAAACTGATAATGCTGAAGTTCTTACAAATATTAGGCAAGCGGCTATACCAGTTGAAAGTGAAATAAGTTCTTCCGAACCATCGGGTTCAGATAAGCAATATCAAGGATCCAGCAACAGTGATGACTGTTCCAACGATGGTAGCACATCAGATTCAGATGAAGAACACAGTGAGTTCATGGGCGAAGACTACTTTACCAATGATTGCAATGAAACAATTTAGATTTATTAATTTTATTCAATGTTTATTTAAATGAGCTTTTAATACTTTTTTCCACATTAAAATCTTGTTACTTATAAAATCTCAAATAATATATTTAATAATAAACAGCAATTTATTTTCTTGTCTAATTATTTGGAAATAACATCATCGCCATTGCATAAACCTTTGTAAAAACTGAATAAAATGAAAATGTTTAAACAAATTTGTATAGCGTAAATAATGAATTAGTTTTTTAATATATTGACTGATGAAATTCGTGAATAAATTATATATCAAGTCTTTTTATTTTCGTGAAATTTTTATGACTTATAGTCGTCTTTTCCTTGACTTGTATCAAATTTCGTGGCTGAAAATAACAAGCCTAAAATAAGAAAACAAAAATAGTATAAAAATTTTGAAAAAAATGTTTAATTTATTTAGACTTTTCTTTTTTTGTTACAAGAATATTTTTTTGTTAACTTTTTTTTTATTATAATATTTTTCTTACATCCTATTTCAATTTTATGCTTTAGTAAGATTTCGTTTCCTATTTTTAGTATTATTTTTTATTCCCTGCGGATGAGTTCTACTTTACCGCAAAATATTGCCGCGGTCACGTTTTCTAAAAAATTTATTTTATACGTGGACAAAGAAGGCGTGCGACCGCACGCCTTTCCTGGGAAAGCCTGATAGACATAAGTCTACCGGAAGGTGAATCTTTGGCTTTATCTAATAAAATAAGATTAAAATTGTATTTGCTATCATTAATGCACTAGTCCTAGTAAAAGCAACAATTTGGCATCGGGGGGTGCTAATTTGTTTACAGCCGATGCACAGTGACTCAGAACAATAAAAAAACAGCAAAAATTAAATAAAATTTGACATAAATTGTAAATAAATAATGTTATATATTAAAATAATAATTTTTGAGTCAAAGATTTTAAATTTGTTAATTAATTTTTTTTTTATGCACAGCTTCGACACGTAAAATGCGCGCTTTCGCGTACAAAAAATTTTTTTTAAGTTTTTAGAATCTTCAAGACAAACACTTAGATTTGGTATATTACTCTACTTGATATTTTTATAAAAATGGTTTTTAAAGGATGTTGATAAATAGAGAAAAAAACACTGTATTTTATTACATTAAATTTATTATTTATATTACAATTAATTAAAAAAATTTATCTGGTAACAGTTTTCCTCGATAGCTCATGTTTTCTAAAAGATATGCTTAATATTTTTGGATCTGATCTTACTAGAAGGTAGTGCATCTGATTCATCATTGTGTTTAACCTTGATATTTTTGCCGTGTGTTTAAGTCTAGAATTTCTTATCTGTTTAATTAAACTCTCTAGTGCATCTTCCGAATATACCCTTATAGGCAAAGGTAATTTATTTGATATAGAAGAACAATGCAGTAGCAGTTTATGTACAGTAGGAGGCATAACATACCAGTTGTATAAACTGACTATACGTTTAACTGTTTCAGTGCAGTATAAATCTAATTCATTGATATTAATAGGATATCCACGAGATATGGTTATGAGAATATTATGCAATCTTTTAATTATATCACAATCAACTTTAGTAATTTCAGAAAAAACTTCACTATTTTTAAAAGCTCTTCTGGCAGTGTTGCCGTCATTCGTATTTCCAGACCCAGTTTTAGGCATATCAACGTATAGGCTTAACCGTTCTCTGAAGAATCTCTTTTTTTTTGATTTATTTTATTATTACCTAACGACACCAAAATTATTATTTTGGTGTCGTTTTTAGGTAATAATAAAATAATAACTATAATAATGAAAATAATATTTTTAGATATCAAAGTTTCCAAACTTTGGTGAGCTACATTGAAAAAAATGAAAATGGTATTGATGTTTTTTCTGAGGGGTATAAACAATATGGTTTACATGTCACAGAAAATGGTTTAATGTGTAGAGAATGGATTCCTGCCGCAAATGAAGTTTTCATATATGGAGATTTTAGTAAGTCTAAGCATCTAATTTTATTGTTAATTATTGTTAATCTTCTTTTTGCTATTATTATTATAATAATGTATTTATTATTATTATTATATATCTTTATGTGGATTGTGGTAGGAGATTGTGTTTTTTTTTAAACAAATTCAGTCCCATCAATGTTGTAAGCAATCACTAATTAAATTAATAGTTAAACCAAAAGCAAAAAAAAAAAAGCTTAGACAGGTGACAGAAGACTTTGAAAACTGTAATTTTTTTGATGAGACAAAAAATATAAAGATAGGAGAGAACTCCTATCTTTATACTTTTTGAAAGGAAAAAAAACGGGATAAATAAAAGTTTATTTACATGAAGGAATAGCTACAGATTCAAAATGATGACAAATCACTTCTTTTTTTTAAATAGTTTTATTGTGTTAAGTTAGGCATACCAGAGACTATTCTAGACCGTTTTCAACAGTGTCGACCGTATTTGGGCGCCCAAATTAAAATTTGTGGACCTTTTTTTTTTAAGTTTTTTACAGCAAACATTGTTTGTTTTTTTTTGCAAAAAAACATTGATTTTTCGCTAAGTTTTGCCGGGAAAGGGGGTTTCACGGTCCAAATTATTTTCCTAAAATAGGCCCTGCATGAATTATGTTGTGTTATACATTTAGTTTTGAAATTCAATTTAACTACAATTCAGTACTTTAAAATGCACAATTTACCTTTTAAGATTTTTATTTATACAATATACAATTTATTGTATATTGTACATAATATACAGTTGTATATATGCTCTATGCTTTTCTGTTAAGCAGCAAAATCTTGTGACTTGCTTTATTTTATAGATAATTGGAATTCATCATCACACAAGATGTTAAAAAAAGAGTTTGGTAAATGGGAAATAATTTTTCCAAAAAACTCTGATGGAAGTCAGCAGATAAAGCATCTTTCTAAATATAAGGTTGGAATATTGCTATTTGTTTATTTTGACATAATAAACATTTCCATGTAATTTTAAATAAACTTTAAATACATTTTTAATGCAACTTATGTACAAATTGAATAAACTTTGTTGCTTTGTATAAAGATTACATTGTATTCTGATATAACTGAAAAAAAATTGTAATCTATATTTTCATAAATTTCATAAAAAATCATAAGGTTTAGGCTTGGACAGAAATGGCGTGCGATTGAGCGCTATTACTGACCACGCAAATGACTTTATTTTTTGACAACTTGACCACAATTGTTTTTATGTTTTGATGATTAAAATATTTCAGAAATGCGTTGAATGTAAAAATGCAAAGCTAAATTTAAACTAAGAAAAAAGTTAAAAAAAAAACAAACTAAAAAAAAAATCCAAACAAAAAAAAAATTCCTTACAAAAAAGAAATTATATAAGCACTTAAAAATAAAAATTAAAAACTTAAACTCTAAGCAAAACTTTTTGTTACATTTTTAATTATGTTTGAAATAGTAAAATGCTTTTAAATTAGTAAATTACAAATTAGTACTAAAGATTGTTTAATAAATGAACAAATTTTATCAAATTTATTAAAAAGTTGCAAAAGTAAGGAATTTAAAAATTACTATAAAAGATTTAAACTCATTCATTCCTTTAAAAAATAAAATGTTTGTTTAAAAGATTTTAAAATGCATAAGTTTTATTATAAAAATTAATTGTATGAAAATTACAAAATACTTCAAAACTTTTTTTTGCCTTATTGAACTTTTCAAAACATTAATCAACAAAATATAAGTAAATAAAGTTATTGTATAATTTACATAAAATGTGTAAAAGCTATTAGTCACAAAAGGTCTTGAACTTATTTAAAAAATTCTTTCAAAAATAATGGTTTGAAAGATTTTTAGGAAGACATTAAAAATAGTTTCAAACATTTAAATTTATCATAAAAAATACATGCCTACATAAAAAAAATTTATATATAACATTTTAAAATAATTTACACATTATTACATTAATTTACGCGTTTGTGTAAACAATCATAATAATTATTTTTTTATGGTTTTATTTAAAACCTTTGCAAAAAATAAAAGCTTTAGAAAAGATCAACGGTTAAAAGTTATTCATAACACAACACTTTTTTTTATTGCATTTAAATTGTTAAAACATCAAAATAGCCATGGTCAAGTTGTAAAGGAAAAAAAAAATAGCGTGATCAGTTAGAGTACGATCGCACGCCATTCCTGTCCAAGCCTGAAGATTTATAGACAAATTGTAAAATGTCAAATAAAAAAGTTTGTTTAAAATTATTTTCAGCTTCTTATTAAGACTGCAAATGGTGAACTGCTAGAGAGAATATCTCCATGGGCAAATTATGTTGTTCAAAATAATACCACTACATTAATGGAACCTGTGTTCTGGAATCCACAAAACCCATACATTTTTAAAAATAAGCAACCTGCTAAGGCAAAGAGTTTAAGAATTTATGAATCTCATATTGGTATTTCATCTGAAGAAGGCAAAGTAGCTTCTTATAAAGAATTTCAGAATGATGTTCTGCCACACATTAAAGATTTAGGTATCTTTTTTTTAATTGATAGATTTTTTGGACATTTAATGTAAACATTTTTTTTGGTTATTTTTTGAAGTTCATTCCACTCTTCATACTGGTGTTGCATAATTGGCCAACAATCATATTAACATGTTTATTTTAGTTTAAATCATGTGAAATTCATATATCTTTTTTATTGATAATTAGTTCTAATGTGTATTTGTCTGAATTTGTTGAGACAGATATTGTAAAAGTATGTTTTGGTTTTTTGTTTGGATTAAAATCCATCAATTTTGAAATCTTTAAACTCAACTGCCAGATTAGAACAGTGATTTTATTGATGTCGTTTTTCAGTATTGTACTGTTGTCTTTAATATCATTTACCCAAGTTATTTTGCTGTCATTAGCAAAAAGCTAATTTAAAAATAAATAAATTTTTTGGGTGTGTGTTAAAGGCTTTTTCAAACTTTAAGTATACAGTGTCAATACTGTAAAATTTAGTCTTTTTGGCTGATATAATGTCTAGAGTTTTAATGAAGTTTGTTATGCATGATTTTTTTTGGAAAAAATCATATTATGTTTTATAAATAGTTTTTAGATTTAAGGTATAAGGCTTTTATCAACTTTTAGGCATGATTCTTTTATTGTTCTTTTAAGTATCTTATATGTGTTGAATAAATGTAAAAGTGGTAGGGCTATAGTTGAAAAAGTCTGACTTTGAACCTTTTTTGCATAGAGGTTATGTTTGCAAATATGAGTAGCCAAACTGTAATATTGATTTCAAAAAAATATTGCTAATGAAATAACATGTGATTTGGAACATTTACTAAGAACCGTTTGTTAAACATCATCAACATTTAATGATTTTTTTATTGATGATTTATTAATAGTTGCTAGTGCACAGAAAAAAAAGAAGGTAAGGCAGGGCTCAATTTAACGGTTGGACATCGCCGCCCTTTTGACCATTCTTGAGACTGCTAGAGGAGGGCAACAAACATTGTTGAATTTTCATTAAAAATGAACAATGGTTGGTTGCCCCCATAAATCAGGTCTCAAAAACAGTTTGGGGGCGGCTATGTCTGACCATTAAATTTAGCCCTGTAAGGTAATATTTTTTACTAAAAATTAATTAACAGGGGTAAAAATGTTTTAGAAGGATTATTTAGATTTGTGATTTTGTTTAGATGTTTTTCATAATTTTCCAGTTTGCATGATCTTAAGCGCCATCTTTCCCAAACTGGTGCCTTTCTTTTCCTAACCGATATCTTTCTTAACTTATTCGGTACCTTTCTTAACTTAACCGGTGCTTCATTTAATCATCATCTTTAAAATTCATCATCAACCTTCATTGCCTTTTTTCCAATGCCAAATATTATAACACTGGATGCATATGGTGCACAACTTTTCTTTGATCTTTAATGAAGGGCTTCCTGCTGCCTGAAGTGAAGATAAATTTTTGAACATGACTTACTCTTGCTCTTGATACCTCTTATAACCTGGTTTAATTGTTTCTCTAAGACAATCCATATTTAAAGGAAGAAAAAGGGTTTAGGATAAACATGATTAAGACAAAAGGTCTTATTCATGTTTATCCTAAGCCCTTTTGCTTCCTTTCAATAATGCACTGGTTCAACACAACAAATAATGCACTGGTTCAACACAACAAATTTGTTGCTTGGGTGCACTTGATCACCAGATCTTAAGCCTATGAAATTGTAATTAAAAAATTTTGTCACGGATTAACAATCAAATCAAACAAAAGTCTATAAAATTTTATTACTACAAAAAACTGAGTATTTGAAACAACCTTTGAGATCTTCTAGTTTTTTGTTTTTTTTTTTTAAATCAAGAATTCTATAAAAAGAAAAGTAAATAAAAATAAAACTATCTTTTTAAAGTCACAGTGTCAAAGTTTGTTTTTCGCATTTTTTATTATTAATTAAAACATATGAAAAATGTATGAGCGTTTAAACGTCTTTGATAAAAAACTTTCTAAATTAAAACTAAAAAGTTTTATCGTTTAAACAAAAATACTATTTTATTTTTATTTTTTTACAAAATTTATTTAAGGATTTAGAGATAAAGTATTAGAACTAAATTTGCCCTCCAAAAAATACAGGCCTTGTTTAGAACCATTACACAGCTCACTTTTTTTGTGTCAAAAAGGGTTCAGTTAAAGGATTGATCAATAAGTCATTCAGCTAAGTCTCATTATTTTACTGTATCCGTCCTTGCATGCTCTAAAAACTTTGAATCATATTGTTTATTTCCAGGCACTTCAACCCTTTGGAACTCTCTTCCTTTTTCATATTTTCCTGACTCATCTACCTTTAACTTTTTAAGTCTTCTGTCAACCATTTCCTTGCTCTATAACTAATCTTTTTTTCTTGTAACTTCCAACTTAATAGTGGTGAATCATAATAAAAAATGTGGTGTGAATCAGAATTAAAAAAAAAAAAGTTTAGTGTTGCATAATTTATGGACGATCACTAAGCAAAAACATTGTTAAATATCAACGTCAAAAGAGTTCAATTAGGCAAAAAAAAATTTTTTTTGGAATATTTAAGTTATCTTTTAACATTGCTCATATGACATCTATTCAGAAAATATTTAGCGCTTAAAATTAAATTTAATTACAATGTGAGTCTTTTAAAATATCAATAATTTTTTGGTTCCTGTAACAAATAAGATTTTAATAATTACAACACATTAGCAAAGGGTTTTAAAGTATTTGTATTTGATTTTTTTATATTCGTCAATACTATTGTTGTAAATAAGAACGCATTTTTTTTTGATAAAATAAGCGCTCAATTCAGGTGGAAAACCTAATGGCATATATATTGGCATGTGCTTTATCTGAAAGTAGAAAAGTGAATGTTCTCAATAGTTTACAATATTACTTTTTTTATGCATATTATTTTTAGTCTACACTAGAGAGCCTATATACTCAGAGAGCTGACATTTGGAAAACGGCTGCCATGTTTTTGCCAAATAAGCGTGTGACATAAATGAATTGAAGTAAAAATACAATATTTTAAACAAAATATTTATTTTTTTAATTAAAATATTTAATGTTTTTTTTTTGCAGTGTTTTATAATTATTTGTTAACAAAATTTTATTTTGCAAATAAGTTAATTCTTTATAAAAAAACCATCAAAAAATTACTTGTAATCTATTGATAAATTAACAAAAGTTTTTTTTTTTATTAGTTTTTTAAATTAGTTTTAGTTTTTAAATTAGTTTTAGTTGAATCTAAACTTTCAAAGCTAATGCATGCATTATCATTATCTTGCTACTAAGTTCAAAATATTGTTTTTAACTTCTTTTTTTTTCTTCCTAAGGCTAAATATTTTAGGTCTGAATTTTTTAAACCTCTTTTCGAGCTTCGATTAAAATTAATTAGAATTAGGATAAAAGCTAAACTTTTAATTTGTTCATCAGTTTTAATTTGTTCATCAATTGACTTTCTTTTAAAGTATAGAGTTACAATTCTTTTAGAAAAAAGGTTTTGGCTAAAATGATCTTAATATTAATTCCAACAACAACAACAAAAAAATACAAAGTTTGTTTCATTAGCAACAAATAAACTTCCCATAATGTGCTATATGTATGTAACAAATATTGTATACTATATATATTTACTCTATTTTTAAAAAATTGAGATTCAAAACAAATTAGGAAAATTCTTTAATTTTCTTTAACTCTAGAAGTTGTATATATCCCGCATTATAAAAAAAAGTTTTGTTCAGCATTACTCAAGATTAAAATTGACGTTTCATCCAAATCTTTGAGTAAAACTATGTGCTCTTTTTTTTATGGGTTGTGCACCTTATATTAAGTCAAGAAAACACGATAAGAATTGATGGTCATCATACTATGGTATTGTAACAGCGCTTTGACAATTTTTTAAAGAGTTTTTTAAGAAAACTAAAATCATTTTTGTAGTGAAAAGCTGTAGAAATGACTTGTTTTCTGAATGTACCAGTTATAAATATTTTTTAAGTAATTGTGGAAAAAAAACTTTTAATATTTCATATTAAAAAATTTTTTAAAAAGAAACTTAAATTGCAATATTTAGTTTTCAACAACATAACACCAGATGAAATAGGTTTCCACCTAAATATTCAACTTTGGCTCAATACATGTAATCCACATAGTACCTCTTTAATTTCATTGAAAATTTTTTTTTTTTGTTACATGTAAATTTAGTGATTTTTTATACTAAAAGCCATATTAGGGTTTTGTGATGTCATAAGTGTGAACCATTTATCAATAATTCAGTTAAATCAAGCAGTTGTGAGTATAGAATCATCTTTTTTTTATTTGCAATAAGTTTTAATCCACAGCTCACTTCATGATTTATTACAATATAATACTTTTGATACTTTTGTTTTGTAAAAATGTTTTTTATCAAGATGCTAAGTTTATGAGTAAACTTTAAATCCATATTTAACACAAGTTTGTGCAGGAAATTTGAATCTATAACTAGTGATAGAAGTATATACATTTTTGAATTCCAACTTTAGTTATGAAAGTTTTGTTACATAAGAGAGATGTTCTTGTATTCTTCAATAAATTTAGCACATTTGCTAAAAAATTAATAAAATAACTTGAGTCACATGGATATTTATTTAAACTGGAAAAACTATAACTTTAAGTACAGCCTATGCTAAAAGATCTTTGACTGGCTTCGCACCTTTATAAACAGAACTTTCACTATAATAATATATTCTAGTTTATCATCTCGTAGATATTCCTCTAAGCATAAAAACTAAAGTATGGTTAGTTTGGTCATAATGTTAAGGTAATCTAACAATTTCATAGTATCAGCTTGATATGTATCATAATTAACACTTTCAGTTATCAACATCAAGAATTAAAGCAAATTCTTTTTCATGAATTTTTATTACATTCATTTTTTATTACATTACATTCACATTAATTTTCATAAACTTTTACAAATATTTAACAAAAATTTAGTAGCACTCACAGTTAGTTTTTTTTTGTGGCAAAAACATGGCGTCAAAAACCTTAAAAATTGAACATCCAATTAAAAATGATCACACGTATGTCCACTCTCTGAGTATATATCTCTCTAGTCTACATTTAGCCCTATAACAAAAAATGACTAGAGTATGCAAGAAATTTGCTGAATGCAAAATTTTTTTTTAAAAATAGCGACAGATAACTTTAAAGTCAGCTGGCTACCAAAATTAACTAACTGTTTACTTGTAATTATATATCTATAACCTTTCTTCTACCAACTCCATGTTGTGTATAAAATTTTCATCATGGGTTAGTCTTATTTTCTAAATAATGAATTATTAAAATTCCTATGCATAATTTCTATCTAAAAATATACCAAATCTAAATAAGTAGTATGTAGTTCTATTTAGGCTACAATACAATTCAGCTAATGGCAATTATGGAACATGCCTATTATGCATCATTTGGATACCAAGTTACAAGTTTCTTTGCACCATCCAGGTTAAAATTAAATTTGTTTTGATTCATTTTTTATTTTGTTATAAATTTAATTATACATTTGAGCTAATACTAATAATATTAATATAACATAATAGTAATATTATATATTATGCGCATGTGCATTAGCGCGTGCGCATATAGTATGCACGCATTTTTGCGGGCTTTGTTAACTATAGACTCAATAACCTTGCTTATTAAAGCAGGAAGACTATAACGAAGGAAGATAAGACTATAACGAAGGAAGGCGATAACTAGATTGCTCAGATTGCTCTTCAGAATTCAGGGATAACAGATGCTGCTTTAGATGGATGCCTTTATAAATGCTGATAAGCACTTGTTAAATAATTTGAATGTATAGATGACAGCTTCACAAAGCACTTCTGCAAGACTATAACATGTATGTTGTCCAGGCCACAAGCTGTAGGAAGCATAAATCACAAAGAGGAAATCACTTTAGATAAAGAAGCTGGAGTGATATGAACATCAAGCAATAGATTAACATGCTTTTTGGCCTTGGACAGGAATGGCGTGCGATGGCACTCTGTAACTGACCACGCTATTTTGATTTTTTTTCTGTACAACTTGACCACGACTATTTTGATGTTTTAACAATTTAAATGCAATTTAAAAATGTGATGTTATGTGTGAATCATAATAAAAAATGTGGTGTGAATCAGAATTTAAAAAAAAAAAGTTTAGTGTATAATTGTTGATCTTTTTTTAATGTTTTTATTTTAAGCGAAGGCTTTAAAAAAAACCATAAAGTTAATTATAATGGTTGTTTACTTAACGCATGTGTAAATTAATAAAAGATGTTGTATATAAATTTTTTTATGCGTGTATTTTTTATGATAAATTTAAATGTTTGAATTTTTTTTTCCGTGTCATCTCGAAAATCTTTTAAACCATTATTTTTAGAAAGTTTTTTTTAAGTTACTTTAATTTATGAATAATTTCAAAACCTATTGTGACTACTAGCTTTTAGACATTTTATGTGAATTATACAAGAATATAAAATAACTTTATTTACTTAAATAAGCATATATTTTGTTATAATGAAAAATAAATGGAGAAGTTGTGAAGCATTTTGTAATGTTCCTACGATTAATTTTTATAATTAAACTTATGGTTTTTTTTAAATCTTTTAAACAAACATTTTATTTTTTGAAAAAATATATATATTTTTTAATTTAAGATAGAAATGAATGAGTTCAAATCTTTTATGATTTGAACTCATTCATTTCTATCTTAAATTAAAAAATATATATCTTTTTTTTTATATATAAAAAAAAGAAAAAAAAAATTAGAAAAAAAGATATATATATATTATAGGTAATATATATATCTTTTTTTCTAATTTTTAGATTCGTTACATGAAGTGCTTATTAATAAAGTTGTAATGGTCAAATTAAAATTAAAATAAATTGCCTGTTTATTTTATTTATCCTATTTTTACGAATAAAAAGATTATAAACCATTTTTTTAACTAGACCTACAAATTACAAATTAAAGCATGAAATTATTAAAATATATATATGTATGTATGTATGTGTATATATATATATATATATATATATATATATATATATATATATATATATATATATATATATATATATATATATATATATATATATATATATAGACTTTTGCAAACTTGTCAGAAAGTGTTCTGATATTTTGTTGACATAAAAAAAATTTAAATGCAAGACCAGAATTTTTATTTTTTTATTTATTTTTTATTATTTGATAGACTGCCTGCCCAAACCAAACCCTCAGTCGGTGTAGCAGCACTCCGTTGCGAGTCAGGCTGTATGTCAGTCAATGTAGCAGCACTCCGTTGAGTCAGGCTATTTGTCAGTCGATGTTGCAAGTCAGGTTATAAGATAGTTGATGTAGCAACACTGTCGCATGATTTACAGTAAAAAAAATAAAAATAAAAACATTTTATTTAAAAAATAAAAATAAAAACATTGTTTATATTTTTAAAAACATTCAGAATGTTTTTATAAACATTCTGGTCAATTAAATTTGAGTTTTTGCGGTTTTTAAAAAAAGTAATTCAATTAATAACAACACGGAAATGTTTGATGAAAGTCAAAAGTAATTAAAAGTGACATAATTTGTTATCAAAAGAATCATTTTTTACCTTCCGTTCTCTCAAAGCCAACAATATATATAACTTTATATATACATATATATATATATATATATATATATATATATATATATATATATATATATATATATATATATATATATATATATATATATATATATATATATGTATATATGTATATATATATATATATATACAATTTTTAGTCGATATGGAACTCCAGACGAACTAAAAGAACTAATAGATGAAGCTCATGGTATGGGTATTGCAGTTTTATTGGATGTTGTGCATAGTCATGCTTGTAAAAATGTTTTAGATGGATTAAATAAGTTTGATGGAACAAATGGATGCTTTTTCCATGACAACGAGCGTGGGTATCATGATCTTTGGGATAGCAGATTGTTTGATTATAAAAAGTTTGTTTGCTTTTTTTCTAAATTTATTTTTATATTTGGTTATATTTAATGATATGATTATACAATGTATGTATGTATGTATGTATGTATGTATGTATGTATGTATGTATGTATGTATGTATGTATGTATGTATGTATGTATGTATGTATGTATGTATGTATGTATGTATGTACAAACCTTTACATGATCACGCTTTATATGATCATGCATATAATACTTTGTTTTGACAACTTGACCACAGCTCTTTGTATGTTTTAGAAGAGGTCATGAGGACGTCTCGCATTATGTAAAATATTACTTGAAAAACATACCATAAATGTTTTTTGCTCAAATTTCAATTTTACTACTGAAATTATATTTTAATTTTTTTTAATAGTTAATCTCTAATCTTAGCTAATCTAATTTTAGCTAATTTTATGTATAAAGATAATTTTTGAAGCCCAACTATTTCATATTTTTGTAAATGTTCAAGTGAAACTTATTTGCTTCATCACTTTAAAAGTTATTTTCTTTAAAACTTTTTATGATTAAGTATAAAGTAATATACATTTTTGAAAGCATCATGTTATGAAGATTTTAGAACAAATTAACTTTAATAATTTAGTATTAATAGCAGACCCTAAGCGATCTACATCGTTTAAAAAATGTGGAAGACCTTGCATGTCTTATGGAGATTTGTCAGAGACCAGTAATAAAAAAAAAAAAAATTCTCCATTAGTTAAGGAAATTGGGTTTGAGCACATCTTTAATGCATATCTTCAGTCATTACGCTCAATAGAAGAAGAAACAAAAGCAAAAATTGTGGAAGTATCAAGGATTGGGAAAAAGAAAAAAAATCTCTGTCTCGAGTTTTATGGAAATCACAAATATTTTACTGACAGATGAAGAAGCACTCAACGTGTTTGTTGATTTAGATTTAACTAAAGCACAATATTTATACCTAAGGATGTTGACAGGCGAAAAAAACAGTTTTTTATTCCCACCATATTACAAAATGCAAAAAATTATACAGATCTGCAATCCATCTTCTTCTAATAAAAATTACGAAATCACATGCAAAAATTATGGAACTGCAATTTATTGGATTACACTGTAGATAAAGTTTTGACTATAGATTCTATGTACAATAATAAATTTAAACACTTAATTTTGTATAGTAAATTTTGTGTTGTGGGGTTGTGATGGCTCCTCTGGCCAGAGCAAGTACAAGTAGAAACTTCCAGAGGAATCTCAACTTATTTTTGATGCAAATTTATTAGTTCTTTGGAACCGATCAGATTAGTCGATGAGGTAACTTGCGCAGTTGTTTGGCAAAATCTGGCTCCTTCATCTATATGTTTTTTTTTGAGCCACAACTCAACACATTCGGATAGGTGACAGCTGTCACTTTGCATCTAGAAAAATTTTTAGTTTTTTATTTATTTAATCAACATAATATTTTTTTTTTAATACTTTTCCTTTACACCTGCAAAGTCCTACAATGTAACAAAAACTTTAATTTAAAAAAATTAAATACTTGATCTAAAACAACAAAATATTTTGAGTTGAGTTTGAAGACTGTTTGCTTCTCTAAATGTTGCTTAATTTTCAATAGTTTTTCTGATTTTGATAGGTATATCAAAATTATATCTACTATTTCAACATGAATTTAATAGATTTTTTATGTATGTTTCTATACAGTCAATTTAGGAGTTCCACCGGGTATTGTTTGGTAACTGAGGCATATGCCCTCTTTACTCATGCAACCATCCCTTAAAATAAAAATTGAATAGTTAATCTTAAACTTTTATATATTTTTTATACTTGAAGTTTATAATCCACAAATACAAAGTAATGTTTACGTGTGGTTGATGTGTATTGCAAATATATTTCTGCACTTCAACCACATATTTGATGACATCTGAATATGATACTTCTTTTTCTAAAAGATTTAAATAATGTGCAGATTTGAATATATTTCTTTGATTAAATCCCTCATTTTTTTTAATCTTATTTTTGTTATGTTACCACAGCAAATACTTCTTGACATTAAAATCCGACATCAAATGACATTACAAATCTAGTGACATTACAAAAGAGTTTAGTCTTGCTGTTTTTTTATTTGATTACAATTTATTTGATTAATTAGTAATGCATAAAATTTTAGACCTAAGTCCGTCATATGCACTATGAGCAATAATGGGATCATTAGTAACTCTACTCCATTCATCTTGCATAATTGTTTTCTCTTCTTGGGTATGTTGTTCCATCATTTTGTTGTATATTTTCTTGTTAACTTTTTCTAAGAGCTCTCCTCCAAACATTTTATGGTTAGGTGAATTATGTCCTGGTCTCAATGAATTGATCATGTCTATAAATTTTTGATTTTCAGAAGTTTTGAATGAAACATTTGCGCTGAAGAAAAATTTTGCTATTTTTATATCAATATTTTCTTTCTGTTTCATATTAGTTGGTATTGTGTATGATGACATTAACCATTGCTTCTTACAAAGTCTTGACAGAATTAGAACTACAGATGCCAAAGACAGAACTAACAGATGCTAAAGAACTTGAGATTATCTCAAGTTGGAAAATAGCTAATATCTAATCTAAAAAATAGCTGGATCATCAGATCCAGTTATTAGAGCAGATGTACTAATATTTAAATATTCGAAAGTACATACAATTTTTTTTTAAATGTTTTGACAAATTGAGATTGTCCCCTTTTGCATGCTTGTGTGAAAACTTTTTTTTTGACAATGTTTTACAGGAGCTTTGCTCATTTTATCTTGTTGCTAATCAAAGCGTGACAATAATCAAAAGAAACCTTTGTACTGTTTTCAACTTCAGTTACTTCATCCCATTCTCCAGTTTTCTTTCTTCCACTTCTCATTGGCTTTTTTAATTATAAAAAATAATTTTTAAATCTAAAATAAATCAATACATATAGATTTAACATGAATTTTTTTATATTTTATTACAGTTTTAAATTATTTTTTAAACTGTAATAAAAAAAAACTTTTTCAAAATAATTTGAGAGCCGTTGTTATACATTTTTTTAAATATAAGTTATATTTTAAATAATCTTAAAGTTGAAAATTATATTAGTTTTCAATATTATTAAACAAACAGAAAAAAATTCTTAACGAATATAAAAAAATATATAAAACCCAAAATTACCATTAAAAACCCACTGGGCCAGGTTTTTTTTAAAAAACCCCGCGGGTTTTGCTAACTTTGCGTGGGACCACATGCTTTTCACTTGAAGGCCTATATATATATATATATATATATATATATATATATATATATATATATATATATATATATATATATATATATATATATATATATATATATATATATATATATATATATATATATATATATATATATATATATATATATATATATATATATATATATATATATAGATATAGAGATATAGATATATATAGATATAGAGATATATATATATATAAATATATATATATATATATATATATATATATATATATATATATATATATATATATATATATATATATATATATATATATATATATAGATATATATATATATATATATATATATCTATATATCTATATATATATATATATATATATATATATATATATATATATATATATATATATATATATATATATATATATATATATATATATATATATATATATATATATAGATATAGATATATAGATATAGATATATAGATATATATATATATATATATATGTATATATATATATATATATATATATATATATATATATATGTATATATATATATATATATATATATATATATATATATATATATATATATATATATATGTATACATATATATATATATATATATATATATATATGTATATATATATATATATATATATATATATATATATATATATATATATATATATATATATATATATATATATATATATATATATATATATATATATATATATATATATATATATATATATATATATATATTTGTCTAAACATCAAAATATTCAAATTATAGAAAAAATATTTCACTGGAAGTTAGGAATTGTTATAATTAATTTAGTTAATTATAATATATTAAATTAACTACATTAATTTAATTAATGTAGTTATTTTGCAACCAGAAAGTTGCATCAACTTCATTAAAATAAAAAATTAATCATGAAAAGAATTCTTCAGAATTTGGATAATTTTAGTCTGGTCATTTGTTTTTATAATTTTTAAAAGGTACTTATTTTCATGTTTACATTTAGAAATTAATTCAGGTTTTTTGTTTAGTAAATTTTCTTGATCCAAATCGGTAATAATTTCAAATTTTTCTTCTAAACATAGTGTACATTTTTTGGAAATGTTGTTATAGGTAGGCGCAGTTAGATTTAGATTAATTTAAAAATAAATTTTTTTTTAGTTGCCAAATATATTTGCTGTAAAAATATATTTATTAACTAAAAGAAAAACATACTTGTTTTAAATTATACTGGTTTATTCTAAAAACTATTTTTAGATCAAAATTTTAGTCAATGGAAATTTAGCCACTAAGTTCACTAGGAGCATATCCTTTAGATTATTGTATATTGAGCTTTAAGAAAGAAATGAAGAAGCAACATCATTTCAATAAAAAGACATTAAAACATTAATTATTGCTTACAATTATTAGACATCCAATAATTTCAAGAATAAGTTTAATTTTTTTTTTTTTTTTTTTTTTACATTTTATCTTATATGCTTGATTATTTGATATATGTAAAATCATAAAAGCAACTTAAATTCTATGACTGTAAGTTACTTTTCACACTTCTTCCTTCTTTATTGTATGCTATACCTTTCTGTTGTATGCTTGATTGTCAGATTTTTTCAAATAATCAAATTTGAAATGTTGTTATGGTTTCATTATTACAATTAATTTAAATCTTTCTTGCAACAGTTAAGGCTAGAAAAATATAGTGTTAACGAGAAAAAATATTTTAAGATGAAATATTGAAGATTGTAAATTGTAAGAAAATTTTTTTTGCTCAAAAAAAAACAACAATTATAGTAATTCAATTTTATTGTTTATATTGCATGTTCAATCCAGTTATACTATATAATTCAATTCTGATTCAATTCAATTTTACATGTTTTGTATATTATGTTTTAATTTAAATTAAACCATTTTTTTTATTGTTATTTTTTTGTAGTTGGGAAGTCCTTCGTTTTCTTCTTTCTAACTTGCGTTGGTATATTAATGAGTTTAAGTTTGACGGTTTTCGGTTTGATGGTGTTACTTCAATGCTCTACAATCATCATGGATTAAGTTTTGGATTTAGTGGTGATTACAATGAATACTTTAGTGCAGCAACTGATACTGAATCTTTGAACTATCTACAACTTGCAAATTATATGTTGCATACACTTTATCCTGAAATTATCACTATCGCTGAAGTAAGTAAAGTTTTTTTTATATACACTGAAAAATCACCTAGGTTTGGTCACTTAAACTAAGAACATTTATATCTTAAGCATAAATAAATGTTTTTAAATTTTTTTTTTCTGAATTATACATACAACTATATCGTTAATTCATATTGTAAAAATAAAATAATAAAAATAAAAACTAGCAATTAGTATTTTGTTTCAAATGAGAACAGTTAGTTTGATTGAACTTTCATGAATTTATGTTTTTTCATGTTATTTTATATTAAAATTAAATTTTTAAAAAGATTTTTTTTTGACTAGACAACTTTGATAAAAATTTATTAAAAAACAAAAATGATTTAAAGCAAACAAATTTATTAAGAAGACTCTTAAATATACTAATGCTAAATTTTTTTACTTTCAGGTTTTTTTTTTTGCTTATTTAAAGTTTTAATAACATGGATGGATTTAAATTTTTTATATGCAGACAAATTATTTCAGTGCAGTGCAATTGAATATTTTTTTGTGATTAGTTCTAGTGTATTTGTTTAGTATCCGTTTAAAAAACCGGATAACAGTTCCCATCAATTTGCGGTTAGCCGACTATTCGATTAACTGAAAAATCTCATAAAGCATAAACTGTTTTGCTTTTGTTAAATATTTGTCCATCAGGAATGATGGTTTTGCAACCAATGTAGTTAGTACTCATTGTCATAAGTGACGCTTTCTGAATACAGGATCTTCCAAATTTCAACCAACGTAGTGTTTTGTTTAAACTAATTTTTAAAAAATCAATGTTAAACTGTACATTGTCAAGTCAGTCAGTGAATATAGTCCTATATTATGTATTTACAACAAAACTTGGAAAATGATATAAAAGATCAGAAATTAAAAAAAGTAGGAATAATGTACAAGTATTCTTTAATTATCGTCATTATCATTTATCGTCATGACATAGCTGCTGATTTGAATTTCATCATTATCTTCTTTTTTTTCATTATCAGCAACCAAGTTTCCAGGTAACTCTGAATTTTCATACAGAAAAACAAGCATCTCTGCATGTTCTGACGTTAATTGATTTCTTTTCTTTGTAATAAACCATACTTATCACTTATCATAATTATTTATATTAGTATTTATTTTACATAATAAATTAAACTATTTCTATGATTAGTTATTATATTAACATGACTTTTAACTAAAATTGGATTTTATGAAAACAACGATGTCTTGAAAGCAGAAAACATTGGTGTGAAAACTTAAGTTATGTAATTTAACTCAAATAAAATTACGTCATTGATTTGCATTTTATATAAGCATTTTAAAATCAATTAATTGTGCTTAATTCTTTAAAATCAATTTAATAAAAAAGTGTTTTATTTATAAACTCAAAAGTCAAAAGTAAAAAAAGTTGGTTTTTATTATTTGAATATAGGTTTTTTGATATTCGAACAAAATCCAGTTAACCGCCAATCCGATTAGCTGAAGAAATCACTAATTAGTTCACATACATTTTTCACCACTAATGGTTTCACAAAATTTCTGCTGATTGTTGTTTTTATTGTTTAAGCTTGATTTCCAATAGTTGTAGAAATGTTGTACAACAGTTGTACTTCTACTGTATGACAATAAAAAAAGCATACTTTTGGATAATTTATAATGTCACCCTCTGACGATTCATGCCACTTTTGATGAGAATCTGAAAACAACTAAAATCAAGTCTAACTGCAAAATAGACTGTTCACTAGGCATGTGGAAAGTTCACCATTGCTTCTTTCATAATTTCTCATGCTGGCAAAAAAAAGCCTTTGATTGTTGGTAAGTTGTTTGAAGAAGTAATTCTGACTGATGCTGATTGTTTGTTTAAGGTATTTTTAAACAAACATTAGATTATCTCAACAATGCAAGACTTACAGATGTAAAAAAACACCTTCACAAGAAAAATTTGTGCAATTTAGAACAGACATACAGACTCAGTTACAGACTGGTAATATGTGACTGTTTCTCACTACAACTTGACAAGTTTGCAAATATATCAGATACAGCACAGTTACAGTTAGTTATGATATGGTATGATATGAATGGTAACTTCAAAGTAAAAGTGGATATATTGCAATTATTACCTATAAAAGGGAAGACAAGGGGTTAGAATGTTTATAATTGAAGAAATAAAAATATTCATAAATGATAAAAAGGAAAATTACAATGAACCAGCTGGCTCTCGCTGGCTGATTTGAGTTTTCTCACAGACAAGGAAGAAGAGCAATAATAAAAAAAATTTCAAACATACATCAAATGTCGTCATGATGGAAACAGATTCTTGTGACGAGTGGATGTTGGCTATGTTTCTCCAGTGGATTACATCCGGGAATTTTTTAGAGAATTTGGTCATTGTAACAGTAAGTACTCCTTGGCATGCTTATTTGAAAAAAGTCTTTCACTAGCTCAGTTATTATACTGGGGATCCTACTGTCCAATGTCAAACACAGTGGTAACAATCTGGTTCAAAAATAAAAGTAACATTAAAAATTGGAATTGTGGAATGACAAACACAATATTTAGAAAGAATTGTTACTTCTGCAAAAAATTCAATAATGGTGTACACTTGCTGTACAACATACAAACACACATTACACAATGGTTTTAAATATGGAACATATCCATGTTAGTGTTTAACAAAATATGATTTTTAATTACATTAATTTAAATTTTTATTCATCTAAATAACTGTAACCACCCAATGGGATTTTTTTATTTTTATTCTAATGATTTTTTTTTTATTGATAAATTATTTATTTTTTATTTATCTATATAACTGTAACCACTCGATGGAATTTAATAATTTATTATTTATTGAAAACCAACTCATTTGGCCAGTTCACAAAGTAGATTAAGGCTACAAACTCAGAAATACAAAGAACTTTGTTCTGAGTATCTATATTATAAATCTTTCTTAATTACAACTATTATGTCTTACCTTTTTTAACCACATCTTGATTACATCTTTTGCTTCTCAATAACATTTAACATTTCTCAATTACAACTTTCATGTTCATCAAAACATATTTTAAAAACAAATAAAAATTTAATTTACATTTTGGTTTATTTTATTTACATTAACTATTTGCTAGTGTAGTATATTTTATAAATATACAAAAATTTCATAGTTACATACTACATAATTTTACTCCAGTTCTTCATTAGCGTAACTCCATTGCAGTATATTTTATAAATATATAATGCTGGATCTTCTTGACTCTACTCATAGGATTTTGCTTGTGCCACCATGATAGTGGCTATACTACTCTTCCTATCAATTTCTAATGAGGGTACAGCTCTAAAATTCAATTTAATTGTTCTTAAGCTAGCTGGTAACAAGGTTTTCCAAACTTTATGTTAGCTCTCAGAGGCTGATTTTCATCAACAGTTGTTAAATGTAAAATTATTCACTGTGTCATGTTGTGCATGGGTGGTGTTCCTGTCAAAGATTTTTTTGTGAGCATTATTGAGGCTTATTAACTTTTTATAGTTTATGTGAATTACATCCATGTTAATTCATTTAGCAAAGTAGTGGAGAGATTTAAGCAATCTTGTAATCTAGGAATGTTTTTTGAAAAAGATGATAAAAAAAAAATCAACTCACCCATTCTGCAAAAAATCACAATGGTATTTAAAAAAAAAAGTCAGCTCAACCAAATCTGCAAAAAAATCACAATGGTATTTAATAAATAAAGTATTTATTAATAAACAGATAAAAATTTTGTTGGTTATTTGTGTTTAGACATGTTCATTGTAATTTTTGCAGAATGGGTGAGTTAATTGATTTTATCATCTTTTCCAAAAAATATTCTTTGGTTAATAAAGTGTTTAATATTAGGGGTTTATTAACCTATTTATTGTCAAGGCTTTCATAGAAACCTCTCCAATAACTTATAACATGACTAAAGTACTTTGAAATATTAAACATAAAAAATCTCCACAACCTAGTTGTTTTAACCTAGTCTCCACAACCTAGTTGTTTTAACCATCTTTCACAAATGTTTGTAGACTTTTCATCAATCTGAACTTAGATTTTTAACTTAAATTTTTAACTTAAATTTTTAACTTAAATTTTTAACTTTTTAAGATTTTTAACTTAAATTTAATTATTAAAATTAAATTTTTAACTTTAACTTAAATTTTTCAATTTTTAAGATTTTTAAATTTGGTTTCATCTTTGGATCACAATGTTGATAGCTATTATTCTTTGTTTATTAGTTTTTGAAAAATTCCTCCACCTACCCTAAGCTAATTAAGACCCCCTCTTTACAAGCAGAAATAATTTTATGTTTAATACAACTACTTCAAAGCACCTTATGGTAAATAAAAATAAAATTTGACTTTTTTACAAAATAAGGTAATTTAGATGCTTTTTTTATACTATTCCCTTGAGGAATTTTCAATTATTTAAATGTCTTAGCAATAGTTAAAATAATTCCAGCACCAAGATAAATCCTTATATAAAAATAGCATTCAAGAACTTTAAATTTCACAGGTCTAGAAATTTAAGCTTAAGTAAAAATTCCAAAACATACCACATTTATATTATATTAAGTTATATAACATAAAATCTTTATAGACATTTTAAATAGATTTTAAAAGATTACTTGTAGTTAAATTGTTTAAAGGAAAACAATCTAACTACAAGGAATCTTTTACAATTAATCTGATCTTACCAGTTTAGTCATTAGTGTTTTCCTTTTAAACAAATTGCTTATCTTGATGACACAACTTTTCAAGACTTCTGTCAACTGTTTCCTTGCTCTTTAACTCTATTTTTTGTTTTATAATAACTCCCAACTTAATAGTAGTTGTCTGCAGCCTTATTGTGAGTAAATAATAAAATTTAAAAAAAATTTCTTTAAACCTAGCTTATGTTCAGTTTCTCTTTGTTCTTCTTTAGATGGTTTTGGACCATGCTATGATCTCTCTAAATCTTTTTTCTAGTGCTACTTCTTCAGACTTATCCCATCATCATACTATTTATCATGAAGCTGACTTGGATTCTTTTTGTTGTTTTCCTCTTATCCGGGCCTTGTTTCTAATGACCATACTCTTTCTATCATTTCAGAAAAACAGGTTAATCCATTTCATAATCCACTCAAACTTCTACTCCTTGTGGTCCAGACAACATTTCTTTCACATTCTTTCAAAAATGTTTTCAAGAACTCTCTTCACTCTATAAACTATTTAATACATGCTAACAAAATCTTTTCCTGACAATCTTACACCTACAGTGGTACTGTTTTCTGATGGCACAACTATATACTACTGTCTTGATAGAAAGTTATCACTTTTTAAGCTTTTAGAACAGGCATCTTTACTATTTACAGTTTTTAAAGTCTTCTACCAACTGTGTTCTTTTTCTTTAACAATTGTTTTCTTTCATTATTTTTTCTTTATTTTCCATTCTGGTAACTCCAAACTTAAATAATAGTTGCTTGCAGCATTCTTAAGAGTGAATTAGTCTTTAAAAAAGCAAAAAAATAATGTTTAGAAATAAAGTCAGATTTTTGATAATATAGAAATAAAATGTTTATTATATAAATATCTTTTAAGGATGTTAGTGGAATGCCCACATTATGTCGACCTGTTTCAGAAGGTGGTATTGGTTTTGACTATAGATTGGCTATGGCTATACCAGATCAATGGATCAAGGTAGTTTTTATAATCTATTTGTACTTTAAATAATGTTATAAGTAAATAGTTTTCTATAAATTTTGTTTAGAAATTTTGAAAAGTATTTTGCGTATAATTTATGATTTTAATTTCTGTATAAAACAAGTTTAAGTGACATAAAAAACAAACAACACTTTGTTGAAGCATCAATGAATAATAAAAAGTGTGTTAAGAAAAACAATTTGAAAAAATGATAAAACTGTCAATAAGATTCAACATAAATAAGTAAAAAAAAATAGATGAAAAAATTTAACTCAATTATATTCTGAAACTTTACTAAGCTCTATCAAAAAAATATAAGTGCAATACAACCTGTTTTAATCCCCACTCAAGGATGCAAATTGCAAAAATGCAAACAAACAAACAAAAACATAGTAAAACCTTTGTCTGTGTTACATCCAATATACAAGAGTTTTTTTCAAACGTTTAACAAATTATGATTATCTTACAAAAAAATCTAATTATACAGTAAATGGTGAAATGAGGAAACTCTTTTAAAAAAATCTTTTGCTAATCAACAAGACTAGCAGATCATCAGATTAAGTCAGTTATTGGTTAACAGCTGACTTAGTCTGATGGCTGAAGTATAGAAACTTTTCTGAAGTTAAATTAAATTCTATATATAGCACAATCCTCTGGCTTAGACAATCCTCTGGCTTAAGTCCAAAATTTTTATAGAGTTTTTAGACCCTAACAATTAAAATTCCATGATACTGGATTCTGACTTGGTATCTTTGACAGTAAAAAATGTTTCTGAACATGTCAATTATAAAACTATTTAAAAATATGTATATCTAATAGCGTTGTATATCAAACTGCTCTATACTCAGACAATCAAAAGGTGAAATAAATTGTAAATAACATAATATATCAAGACACTTATGCAGACATGTCAGAATGGAAGGAAAAGAATGAAAATGTTTTGGAAAAAACTATTATCCTTATTGTGCTACTAAATTTTTAAACATTGATTTAAAAAAAAAAAAACAATACTGAATATTTCTAAATACATACTATCTAAAAAAATATGGATATTAAAAAAAAAAAATTAAAAACTGACAGTTAATTTTTTAGTTATATTTTAATTTTATACTTACAATGATCAAAAGATGCTATTTAAGCTACAAGACGACAACTTAAAAACAAAATGGTTTCTAAGTATGTCTACTCTATGAAATATATATTCCACATGTACCAATTAGAAATATATATACCACATAGAAATATGGTGATGGGGATTTTTTACGAAAATTAAAAATTTAAATTACGAAAATTAAAAATTAAATTTACGAATGACAATATGATGATCAGTGTAAAAAGCAATATGCATTTTTAAGAAGTTTAAAAAACTGAATGCAAAATTCTCTCATTGAATATAGTTAAATTTATAATCAACAGGTTTATCTATGTTCTCAGAGTAAAATTATTAATTAGGATTTTGTGAAAATCCCACTTATATATGTTATGTAGTATTTAATTATGCACATAATTTTATAAACCATTAGTTTTGAAGTCCTTTTGTTTTCTCACTAAGTAGATCTTGACTGTCGATATCTGCATCAAAAAAAGATATTTGCCATTAATAAAAAAGCACAAATGCTGATGTTTTAAAATGCTTTAGGCTATTTCAAAAATGTTTTCCAGTGGTGCAATGATAATAATGTGGACATTGTTCAAATAAATACATATACTTACAACCATCCAACAGAACAAAAAGATTTTTGGGCAGTATTTAAAGGATTTTTTTATAAGACAGATAAAGTGACAGCAAATGAAAAAAACTTATAGAAAAATTGGATTAATGTAACCAATAAAATAAAATCTATAAAACAATTGCATCAACCTGCTTAAAAACTTGATCTCTATCATGGCAACCCTTTAGAAGCTTTAAAATTAAGTTAAGGTGGTAATTGTTGTACACATTTAATTAATAAAATTAAATAAATTGAAATAAAAATCTTTTATGGTTTAAGAGAAATCTTAGTTGGAAGTTGACTGGATTTTTTTGTGTCTACCTAATAATAATTTTTTTTTTTTTTTTTTTTTTTTTTTTTGTGATCTCTTTAGTTGATAGTTCTTAAGTGTTTTTGAAATCATCTGACTGTAAACAATAAATAACGTTGCTTCTTCTGAATGGACGTCATTAATTTTAATTCTGTTTCATTTTTAAAAATTAACTGTATATGGACTGGGTTAATTTTTCTAATGAATAAATTAAAAGGGATAAATAGGGCATTGCTAGGTTTTTATCTCAGTTAATAAACTGAAGATTAAATCTACTATTGCAGATTGAATCTACCATTGTATAGTATTTAGTGTTTATTCAAACACAAATATACTTAAGTGCATTAAAGGTATGATGCTCAGTGTGTATGTATGTATGTATGTATGTATGTATGTATGTATGTATGTATGTATGTATGTTTGTATGTATGCAGCCCTCGGAATTAGTAAAAATAAAGTCGGACATAATTTGCCAAGCTTAATCTATGTGAGGTCGGCATCAGGTTGGCAGAAAAAATGTAAAACAAAGGTTTGACCATAAAACATAGTAATGATGTTGGCAATTTTTTGCTGACCTTAAACACTTCTAGGTTGGCATTGCTGAATGCTGATGATGGGCAATTTCATGGTGGAAAATGAAAAAGTTGTCAAATTTTATCATATTATGTCAAATTTTATCATTTATGTTAATTTTTAGCAAATGAATATTGATGTAGACACATGAAAGTGTACTAAAATTAATTTATTAAAGTCATTTTTATGCTTCCGAAAGTTAGTTTTTGTTGCATCATAAAAAAGTATAATTTGAATTTATTTGCATAATCCAAATTAATTTAGTATGAAAATGGAACTAACATGTTCAATTTGTTGTTGGTCGGAATTTATACTTTAAAAAGTACATATATTTCAAGAAAATAACGAAAGAATTTTGGAATTTTTATGTAACATAAGTTACCAAAAATATGATAAAGTTTTAAAAATTCTAAAATTTAGTTACAAAACTTTTGAAAACATTGAATATTATTTTGCAAATAAATAAAATATGCAAAAGAATACTAAATGTATTATGTTTTTATATTTAAAGTTTTGAATAATGGTGCTTAGTTTAAAATTACTTAGTAAAAAAAAAATCACATTTTAGTTTTGAATTTGTGTAACATAAGTTAAAACTACATGCATTAACCAAAGTTCTGGCACTATTTGTTTTTGTTTTTGTTGCTTACAAAATAAACACTGACATTTTTATCACTGCTATTTCCAAGAAATATTTTTTAATTTTTTTTTTTTTTAATTATCATTGTTTTTTAATTTAAAAGTATGTTTTTTAATTATTTTACCGTCATACTTACATTATGAGTATGAGAGAAAAATTCACAACTCATGCCAGTATCAAGCGTAACCAATCTAAATGTTTTAAACTTAAAGAGTTTTCTGGTATATATTTTTATGCTGAATAAGAATCTTTTTTCAAAATTAAATTTGCTATTTAGGAAAAAAAGTTATGAATAAAAAACAGAAAAGGAGAACTGTGGGGTTGAATGAAATACGCTAATGATAATGAAGTAATAGCTTACTTCTTAAATGTGACTTTTTTTTTTATTAAATCAGTGACCAACATATCTTTAACTATAAATTTTTTATATTGGAAAAAAATTTTCAATGAAATTTTTCTGAATTTAAATGAATGACTTTTACTGACTGCTTTTATTAAATGATTCTAATAAATGAATGAAATACACTAGTTACTCTCTTGTTAAATGCAGTTTTTATTAATTAAGTCTCAAGTAGCCAAGTTATCTCTATAAATTTTGTGCGGAAATTTCAAATGGATTATTGTTACATCTATTTTAATATAAAATATGCCTCGAAACAACTTGCATGTAAAGAAAAAAGAAAAACTATACACTGAAGAGCAAGTTTGTGGTGGTTAAAGTACAAAACGGTGAATTTTCACTTAACAAATCTACTAAATCATTCAGCATACCAATAGCAACTCTTCACAGGCGTGTCCACAACATAGGTGAAACAATAGAAAGTGGTTCAAGCATGAGATTGTCAAAACAACTTGAATCGATTTTGGTAGATATGCTCATCAAATTATTCGATTGAGGCTTTGGTAGAACTTACAATAATGTCATTACACTAGTTACCGACACCAAGTTTGCAAAACCAAGGTCAATCTCATTTGTTTCCTAATGGTACACCATTTTATCACTAAGAGCCGCTTCTTTTTCAACAGTTAATCAAGTATTTCAACACATTGCAAAGAGAATTCAACGTAGCAGGTATCAATGAAAACACTCCATGTCATTTGTGGAATTTTGATGAAATTGGCTTCTCTGGTGATCTAGGTAAGCAAAATATAGTTTGCTGGTGTAGTGAAAAAGGACCATTGAAATTGGTTGACAACAATGAAAAAATCCATTATTCAGTTGGAAATTGCATTAATGCTGCTGGTAATCGTCTTGCTCCATGAATTATTTTTAAATCAAAAAAACTTCTGTACAGAGATTGATGTTTAATTGATCCAGATGATGCCATATACACTATATCTCCATCCGTTTGGATGGAAGATATTCAATTTGTGCAGTGGCTCACTAACATGTATGTTCCCGCAATTAAAAAAATTCCAGGTAATTAGTTCAATCTAATTTTTGTTCATATTTTAGTCGTAGATTGACAATATTTTATTCATATTTTAGTCGTAGATTGACAATATTTTATTCATATTTTAGTCGTAGATTGACATGTGACGTCACATATCGGGTATTTTTGATGCAAATAAGTATATCACATATACTTATTTGAAATGAATATCTTGTTAATTTACTTACCAGCTCACTTGTCACATATTCTGCAGCCACTAGATGTCGGTGTTTATTGCCATGTCAAAAGAGTTTGGTGCAAATTACTTCAACAGTTTTATGTAGAGACAAAGTTATCAAAAGAATGTTTTAGCCACCTGCAAAAACAACTTTTCAGCTCTGGTGAAGTTTTTACATGTACCCAAATAGTCACTGGGTTTCAGAATACTGGCTTGTTTCCACTTGACATCAATAAAATCGATCAGTCAAAGTTTAAAGTTGCTAATACGTTTGAAACACTGTCATCTGAACTTGAGCCTTTATCTCAACAACCAGAATCTATGGTTACCATCACCAATACTAGCACCAGGAACTACACTACCTCAGCCATTGCCCTTTGCATCTACACCAACATCTAAGATCAGCATATGTCACATAGCATCAGCTCCAAAGTCACCTTAAAATTCACCCTGTCTGCAAATAACCTTCAATGTTGTAGTAACTCCGGCTATTCAAAAGGAAATTAAAAAAGAAGTTGAAAAACAACTGCAATCAGCCCAATCACTTGCAGCAGCTTTGCCACAAATGTTTTGAATCCAACACATTGACACACAAAAAAGAAAAAATGTAGATGTTCCAAGATTCGAAGGGGAGTGTCTCAACAAAAAACCTGAAATACTTGAAAGGTTGAAAGATGCTGAGAGCAAAAAAGCAGCAAAGCAAGCTAAAAGACAACGCAAGCTTAGCTTTAATGGCGAACAGCAAATAAACCAAGCAGCAAGTCCAACAAAAATATTAGCTCCAAACCAATCTAAGTGTAAAAAGTGTTGAAAACTTTTAGGCGAGTTCCGCACAAATGAAAAATCAACTCAACCTCTAGTAACTCTCAATATCATCACAAAACTCAACTCAACCTCTAGTACCACTCAACATTATCACAAGAATAAAAAAAATTATTTTATTTGGTTGATTTTTTAATTGTTATTGTTGATTGTTTTTTTTAATTGTTATTAATTGCTTTTTGTTTTTTTTAATAAAGCGTTGTTTTAATTACACATATTTCATTCTCCTTGAATGTCAGTGAAGAATGAAATAATTTTTTTTTTTAATCAAATAAAGTTTCTTAAAAAACATTTAAAAAAATTATTTGTTTTTTATATATTCAAATACAGCTCAATATTCTCTAAAACTTTAAAAAAAAACTTTTTTAAAAATCTTTTTTTCATAAAAAAAAAAAGGTAATTAAAATCCTTAACTATTCCATTTGACCCGAATTACTCTATTCTTAATTAATTAATATTTTAGTTTTAGTAAAACAAATCATTTGTAAATGCAACTAAATGGGGTTAGTATGTCACCCTATATTTGTCAACTCTTATATTCTATATTTGCTCCTTCTCTCCTGTCATAAACTCTTATAGAAATTTTGCGTCAAAAATATTTTTAAAAATTTAAATGTAAATACTTTGCAGCATTTTAAAAGTTCAACCTAATACAAAACCTAATAATAAAATACAAAACCTAATAATAAAATACGGCAATACACATAATAAACAATAAACATAAAAAGTGTAAGTAAAATTTTCAACTAACTAAAACATTTTCTTATTTGAATAAATCATTAAGTGTTAATTAGTTGTCATACTGAAGTAATTTTTTAAAGTTGCTCTTGATTTGATATTTTTTATGAATTTCATGGAAAATCACTCAGGAAAAGTTATTTATAATTGTTAATTACTTTTAATGAATGACTTCAATACTTTTGCATTTCATTTTTTATTTAACTTTCAAAAATCTAGCTCTTTATAATAGCTATAAAAAATCCTGTGTTGACTGTTGTTTTTAAGTTAATAATAAGTAGAAAGTAATAATAAGTTACAAAAACAAATTCTAAAATAAGTATTAAGTTAGTAATTTCTTATGCAGAAAGGAAATCTTACAATTTAAAAATAATGTTTTAATTTTTTTTCAAAGATCTTAAAAGAGAAAAGGGACGAAGACTGGGACATGCAAAATATTGTTCACACATTAGAAAATCGACGCTATAAAGAAAAAACAATTGCATATGCTGAATCACATGACCAAGCTCTTGTTGGTGACAAAACATTGGCATTTTGGCTGATGGATAAGGAGATGTATGAATATATGTCAGTATTTAAACCTCTTACACCTGTCATTGAAAGAGGTATTGCTTTGCATAAAATGATCAGGTAATACTTTTTTTATTATTAAAATTTTTTTTGTGTTTCATTAATATAACTAGTGAGTTGGATCTTTAAATAGTTTTTTTTTTGTATGATGTGGAAAAAAGAGAAAGTTTCTTTTGTGTAATCTGTTATTAAAAATGAGTTCCCTAGATGTTTTTTTTTAACTTAAGCTGGTGTTTAAAAAAAAATTTTGTTAAGTGGTTTGTAAAAGTATATGAATTTTTTAAGAAATACTGAAAAAAAAAAGTGATTTGTTTTGTTTAAAATTAGGTTTATATTTTTTGATTTTAATTTATCAACTTACTAAAAAAATCATAATTTTTTTGTTGCTGTTGGTTTTTTTTATGTACTTATCTCCTAAGGTGGTTATTAAAGTTTAGGAAGCTACCTTTTTTATAAGTTGTTACAACTCTTTTTTTGTTGTTGGTTTTTTTTGTTATTCAGTTCCTAAAGGCAACAAAGTTTAGGAAGCTACTTTTTAAATAAGTTTTTACAACTCTTGTTCAGCTCTCAAAAACACAAAGCTAACTCACTTACTCCAAAACACAAAACAAAAAACAAAAAAAAGTTTACTTCTTCCTATGCCATTTTTATTTGTGAACAAACAAATTTATAATTTTTTTATAGATTGCTTACATGCGGACTTGGTGGTGAGGGTTACTTAACATTCATTGGAAACGAATTTGGTCATCCTGAGTGGCTTGACTTTCCTCGAGCAGGGAATAATAGTAGTTATCATTATGCTCGAAGACAATGGAGTTTAGTAAAAGATAAAACACTTCGATTCAACCACCTTAATGAGTTTGACAAAGCAATGATGCATTTAGAAGAAAAATATGGTTGGTTACACGCAGAACCTGTAGGCTATTATAAAAATTAAACTGAATATGTCATTTTAAATTTTTAGTTTACACTGATAACAAAATTTTTCAGGGATATGTGGCATGCAAACATAATGACGATAAAGTTATCACATTTGAAAGAGGAGGATTAGTGTTTGTATTCAATTTCAACATACATAAAAGTTTTGTTGACTATCGTGTTGCTGTTGACACACCTGGAAAGTATCTTTTACCTTATATATATCTTGTAGACAAAAATAATCAATATTATTTAATATTAGTGTGTATATAGTATTAGTGTGTGTGTGTATGTATGTATGTATGTATATATATATATATATATATATATACACACACACACACACACACACACACACACACACACACACACACACACACACACACACACACACACACACACACACAATATATATACTGTGTGTGTGTACACACACAGTATATATAACAATACATAACATAATCATTTTTATCTTAAAGTTACAACAATAGTTAAAATAATATCAAAAGTTTCTTATGAGAAGTTATAGTTCTATGGTTTCTTACAAGAAGTTAGCATTATAGATTTAATCAGCTACAAGCTATTAAAATGGCATCTGTTAAATGTCTAATAAAATACTTAATGCTTTTTTTTTCGTTTTTTATTCTGTGTTTAAAAAAATACCTTAATTTTGTATTAGATATAAAATTGTATTGGATTCTGATGCTGAGATTTTTGGTGGACATAATAGATTAGATCATAATTGCAAGTTTTTTACAGAAAATTATAGTTTCAACAACAGAAGTTGCTCTTTTAAGGTAGATTTTTTTAAATTTTTTAGATTTTTTTATTTTGCAATAATTCCAACATAAGACAATATTTTTTTTAATGATAAAAAGATATTTATTTCAGTGCTTTTAATGTTAATAAAAATACATACTACTTCAGCTGTAGTACAATTTAGGCATATAGTCTGAAAAAGTATGTGGGTAGGCACAAATAAAACAGGTTAAAATAGAAAGCTTAGTTATTGGGCAAAATTTTTTTAGGTATTGCTATATAGTAGTCCATCTTTACCAGTGAGGGCATTAAGAGAAAAATGCGCAGGGTATGAGGTATCTGTCATTAGATATGCACTAAAATGACACTTCATGTCAGAAAGAAGCAAATCTAACATTGCACAAACTGGGTAGCAACAAAATAGTTAGATAATGACATGGTACAGCTCATTAGTCTTTTTTAGATAAGTTTACAATTTTGCAGTTGGCAGATCATTTACAATGCCCTAATTGTTACGTAAATTTAGTAAAAACATTTGCAGCATTAATAATGCATCAAACAATGTTTTAGATTTGAATCTATAACATCAAAAAAATATTAAAACAAAATTTAATATAAAAAACAACTTAGTATATAATAATGTTACCATAAAAAGAAGTTGTAGTTAGCAAATAGTGCTGTCTTTTTTATTTACTTTAAAATTATTAAACAAAGGGTTTAATATCAAAATGTCGTATGAGCAGTATTGTTTTTATGTGGCATTTTAAATATTATTTATTGAATTTAAAAATAACTTGAGCATGAAAGCACACTTTATTAACATTTTTTAGTTTAGTTTTAATAACTTTTTAAATATAATTGTTTGTTATTAATAGTTAATTGTTGTTTTATAAGTTACTTATAATTTTATATATATATGTTAACACACACAAAATAATTGCTCATACCACATTTTAAAATTAAACACTCGGCGGTTTTTCCCCCGTAAATTTCTTACTTGAATTGTCCGCTATGATAATCAATAGTCTGGTATAATAATGAAAATACTCAAGAAAAAAAAATTAAATGTCTGACTACTAAAATACAACTAATAAGAAACAGTTTAATTAAAAGCAAATTAATGAAGGAAAAAAAAGTAAGCTATTAAAAAATATTGTTTAGTAACTTTAGTAAAAAAGAGATGCACAGAAGAAAAGAGGTAATGGCAAAGAAATACTTTGAAAGATCATTTTTGTTGTAGTCAATATCTGTTTCATGTTGTTTCTTTTTGTCAAAAACCAAGGTTTTATTACGTGGAAAAAAAAAGTTGAAAGTCATAATTGCAAAGAAACAATTTATAAAAAGAAAAATTTTATACTATTCTCTCTCAATCTGCAATTAAATTTAGTTGAAAAATAAGTTGAATGTTTAAAACATGTTTTTATTGTAATTCATTACACAAAGGGATTGCCCATAAATTACACAACGCTGATGAACGAAAAAAAAGATCAGAAGTTTTCCCTCGCAGAGTGTTTAATAAAAGTTTTATTTAAGTTTAATAAAAAATCAAAATACCAAAATAATCAAAAATGAAAATCGCCAGGTAAAAAGCTTAAGATTACTTACTTTTTTAAAATAAGTTAAGCGTTGCATAATTTATGATTGAATTGTAAAATGTAAAAAAAAAAAAGAACTTCCATATGTGAATCATTAAATGTATTCTAATATTTTTTCACTTCTTAAAGAATGTATTTTATAATGTCTTAAGAATTTATTTTATTAACGTTCTTTTACTTGACTAAGTTAAAATCATTTTTTTTTTTTACTATCGAAAAAAAAAAAAGAGATTCAGTGTCATTAACAGTTCAACGGCCCATTTACATGATTTAAAATGCAACTATAGCATAAAATAGCAACTATAGCAAAAAATAATACATTAGTATTTCGAATTGAAAAAAAATTTAATTTTAAAAATCATTTCAAATTAAGAAAATTGTTTCAAAATGCAAGAACATTTAAAAAAATAGTTCAGTCGCACCTTGAAATATTAAATTGCTTCTTTTTATTAAGTTTAGTAAAATTACATAATGCACTGTAGTGTATTCATTATTAAACGAAGTGTATACTACTTTAAATGCTTTTTAAAGTTTCCTTTAAATAATCCCAGGGAATAAAATCTTTATAAATCAAAAAATAAAATGTTCATAGTTCAAAATACAGTTTTATTATATTAATAAACATTCTTTGTAAGTAAAAAATCTGGTCGTCCTGCCAGGCCAATGACATGTTTTTTTTTTTTTAATTTCAGTTGCCCTTTAAGAAAACGAGTCATCCTGTGCCACCGAACAACCTTGAGGGTACACCTCTGACTCTTCGTTTAATAATTTAAAAGTAAGTTAAAAAAAAAGAATGCTGACAACAATACATTAAAAATAAGCAGTTGTAGTTTTATATACAGTTTAATGTCAATATATTGAATGCCAGATACATTGGTCCAGTATAGGAAAAATGCCTTAAAATTCATTGGCTGATGGTCAGTAACCATCATTTGCCCAATTTGAATTTGATAGTTGGCGTAACTTTATTCCAACCTATGGTCTGACATTGACTCAAGGTCGGCAATCAAGGTTTAGAGAGCATTGCATTCTAACATTGGCTTAACATATTTAATAGTTTTAGTTCAATTTTTTGATTGCAAAACTTTTGTTTTGACTTAAAAGGAAAACACATGCAATTTTTTTCTTTGTAATGTTCATTAAAACTATTGCATTTTTTTTTGCTAAATAAGCTTTCATAAACTTCAAATCATATTTAATTTTTACAGTGATTTTAACTTTACAGCAACAAATAAAAAATTAAAGTTTGTTGTCATATTCATTGTTATTATGTTTGAAATTTGTTCCAGCTATACACATAATTCTTTTTGTTTACAGTTTACAAACATGTTCTTTTTGTCTTATATGCCTTATGAATCTTCATTTTCCTTATGAATCTTGTGTCTTTACTTCTCTTGAGAAATACTGTAACCTTCAAATCTCATTTCAAGTTTTGATAGAATTCTCTTGCATCTTTCGTTTGATGTTTTTGTTTTGTTTTGCCTATCTGTAAAATTTTAAAAAAGTAAAATGTTACCTCTCTATCTATATATATATATATATATATATATATATATATATATATATATATATATATATATATATATATATATATATATATATATATATATATATATATATATATACATATACATATACATATACATATACATATACATATACATATATATATATATATATATATATATATATATATATATATATATATATATATATATATATATGTATATATAGATAGATAGATAGATAGATATATAGATATATAGATATATATATAGATATATATAGATATATATAGATATATATATAGATATATATATAGATATATATAGATATATATAGATATAGATATAGATATATAGAGATATAGATATAGATATATAGAGATATAGATATAGATATATAGAGATATAGATATAGATATATAGAGATATAGATATAGATATATAGAGATATAGATATAGATATATAGAGATATATACATGTATATTATTATAGTAATAATAATAGTTATAAGCTGTAGCTTAAAGCTGAGATGGCCAAAAGAATATGACCAACTATGACAGCTAGATTGTACATATATTTTTTTTATGTAGGCATCATAGCCAATTTTAATTGCATTAGTTTTTTGACGACCTCCGGTAATTTATTCCATATATCAACAACTCATTTTTTTTTTTCTTTTTGCGAAAAAATTGTTGGTCACTTAATTATGTTAAATCAAAATAAAAAAAAGTTGTATAAAGTAATTAAATATTTAAATTTGTTTCAAAAGTTTTAAATTGTGAAGATTGGGTTCAGAAAGTTGTAGTGAAAAACATAACTGTTAAAAACAATGTGTTCGCAGATGACGCCATTACTTATTTATTACATCGTTTTGAAACACCTTTAAAATATGCTGAGATGAATGCATCAGATGTGTTGAGTTAATGACACTCTCTGTTAGAGTATGCTCATAAGTATCTTTATATACTAACATCTACATATTTGTGCTAATAAGGAAAAAAAAATTCTCCATTATGTAATAACTGGAAGGATGTATATAATGTGATAATTGAATTTGATAGTAATTCAATCAAAAAATTTATCAAAAAAGATGAGACTTAATTAAATGACAAATTAATATGAGAATGAATTTTAGTAGATAGCACAAGAGACACTAGCTCTTTAGAGCAGTGCCCATTATAGTATTTGTAGTAAAGAGAAAGAGAAACAACATTACAACAATGTGATAATGGTTCGAGGTTCGCTGCAAGAGCAGGTCCAACAATATTTACAATGCGTTTTTGCACCTTGTCTAAAAGAGAAAGGGCATCATTAGAAGATCCTTGCCAGATATGGCAACAGTATTCCATACAAGGATGAATTTGTGACTTATAGAGGTAAAGAATAGAATTCGGAGTAAGAAAGTGTCGAGCACAATAAATAGATGCAACCTAAGCAGATGCTTATTTGCAATTGATTTGATATACCGTTTCCAGAAAAGATCGGAATTATGAGTTAATCCTAGAAAATGAAGAGTAGATAACTTATCAAATAAATTTCCATTCATAAATATAGGAAGATCTAAATTATTGTGATAACGATTGGCTCAAAAAACTTGAGTTTTATCTGAAATAAAGTTCCCCAGCCACTGGGAGCCCCATGGGTAGCAGAAGTGAGATCCTTTTCAAGCTCAAATGCCCCCTCCAAGCAATCAGAGAGTGTTGGCTTCTTATCATGACAAGAATAAATGGTAGTGTCATCAGCGAACAATGCTACCTTAGATGTGAGAATATCTAGAAGATCATTAATGTAAATTAAAAAGTGTATGGGGCCAATGGTTGAAACTTGAGGAACCCTTGAAGTTACAGGGTATGAAGAAAAATCTGTCCATTGAGGACAACTTTTATACTTCGATTGGAATAGGCTCAATAATCTTAAAGATGTAACCAGATACACCG